TATGTTCTTTCTTTCAAGATCTCTCCTGGGCCTCCGGTCCGTGCCGCCGGCCTCCCAGAAAACGTGGTCGCCGTGCTTCCCTAACTGCCAAATCTCGCCAGGCAAATGGCCCAAGATAAGATGGCCTCCAAGACGGCCCAAGACGGTCCAAGATGGCCCCGAATCCGCCCGGGAAGTCTCCAAGATGGCCCAAGAGGCCTCCAAGAGGACTCCAAAACGGCCCCAGAGGCATCCAAGAGGTCCTCCAAGAAGGCCCGAAAACGCCAGAATCAATTTGTCCATTGGGTTTTTGACGGATTCTGGCATGAGCGTGTTTTCGGCCGTCCGACGGCCCGAAACGGCCCAAGAGCCCCCAAATATTGCCCCAGAGGCTTGCAAAGTGGCCCCAACACGGAACAAGAGGCCCCCAAAACAACCCAAAAGGCCTCCAAGACGCTCAAGACGGCCTCGACCCCCAAAAGGGTCCCAAGCTGGCCCAGGGAGGCCCCCGAGACAGCTTCCGACGGCGTCAGACGGGCCAGGATGTCCAATGCGGTCATGACAACCTCCCAGCACCGTTCCCCGAACCGCGCATGGGCTCGGGGGACACATGCAAATAACATGTTCAACGTCAGGCGAGCAGGCCTTGGCGGAGACACAATGCGTTCCCAACGACATCTATCCCAGTGCCGTTCCCCGAACCACGCGCACGCGACTCCGGGGAACAAATACCAGTTTCAGATTGAACATCAGGCGAGCAGGCTTTGGCGGAGACCCAGTGCGTGCCCAATGACAGCCTACAGCATGTGTGCGGCAGTCCACGACCGCCCCAGAATGGCCTAAGAAAGCCACGCGCTGCCAAAAACGCAACAAGAGGTCCCCAAAATACCTCCCATAAACCTGCAAGCGGATCCGCGAGGCCTCCGAGATAACCCTCCAGGCGCAGCCTCAGCGTTCTCGTGTCGTTGTCGTGATGTTGCTGTTCTTAGTGCGCATATTCTTAGTATACGTCATATTCTCCTTTTTCGCCCATGTCTTCCCCGAGAGGTTTCCATGACGGCTCGGGGAACACCTTGCCCAATTCCTTGTCCGAGCTCCACGCGGGCCCCACGCGAGCCCCGCGCCGACGCTCTCCTGGGCGTCCAAACGGGACGACCCAGCGGCGGACGAGGTAGGCATGGCCATGCACTGTCTCGGGATAGAACTGTGATTGATGGTGTCGCGCGCTTCAGGCTCAAGAGAACTTCGACCCAAATACAACTACGGACGGACATGCTTCAGAAAAGGCAGCGACAGCAAGGCACATCAACAAAACGCTCTCGCCGACGATGCTACGACAACTACCCAGGGGCGTTCCCCGAATCATGTATGCGCAGCTTCGCGGAACAACCCTTAGTGGAACGATTCAACGTCAAGCAAGCTGGCTTCGACGGATACCCATGGCGACCCCAAGACAGCCCAAGACGTATGAACGACGACCCATGACGGTTCCTGGAGCTCAAAGCCCAAAGCGGCACCCTCTGAACACCAATGGTCGTAAGTATGGCCTAGCATGTTATGACCTGTTTGAGTGAACTATTTACGTTGTGTGACCAGTGCCTATGTCAGGCGAGCCCAAGACGAACGCCCCTCCGCGAGCTTTCCCCGAATCATGATCAAGCATAATCGGAAAACAAGTGCCAACGAAAGCTGCAACATCAAGCGAACAGGCTTTCGCGGAAAACCAGTGCGTTCCCAAAAACGACCCAACGCGCTTGGACGACGGGCTAAAGCGGCCCCAACATGGCCCAGGACGGCCCCAGGATCATCCAAGACGGCTCTACAATCCAAACCTCCAGCGTGACCTCAAGGGGAATGTTACGGAATGTGTTTCTTCTCGGGATGTTCTTCGTAATAATAATGGGAATCATGATATACTTTCCTTTGCACCACCCACGCGCTCCCCGAAATATGTCCACATCCACTCGAGAAACAGCTGGTCCGATAGCTGCTCCACGTAATAAGCCACGCGTCAGTTCTGAGATACCCATCGGGACACCTTCCGACGGCGTGACGCGGGCAAAAAAAACCTGATGACGGCCAACAATAGAGCCCTCGAGGCCTCCAGGACACCCAGAATCCGCTCCATAACGGACTTGAAGCGCCCCGAAAGGGCCCCAAGTCGGTTCAGAGAGACCCCATAGACGGCTTCCGACAACGTCAAACGAGCCAGGTACGCCCTGCAACGGAAACGGAGGCCCCGAAAAAAACCAAAGGAGCCCACGACTCATATTACGCGTACTACCGCTACACATGTCCCACTGGGTGCAGGCAGGAGTACGTCCCAACGGGTGCGCGTGTAGTAGTACGTGCGTGTCGCAATGGATGCTTGCGGAGCACGTCCCAGAGGGTGCGCGTGCTTCACGTGTCCCAACGGATGCGTGCCATTTGCACGCCCTTTGCACGTCCCCGAAGGTGCGCGTGTATGGCGTGTGATAGTGATGCGGCTACTCGCTATGGTAAGAGGTGGCTCAAGAGGCTCCCAGGAGGCCTCCTTTCTCCTCTTCCTCCTCCTCCTCCTCCTCATCCAACTCCTGATCATCATCCTCCTCCCTCTCCTGATCCTCCGCTGCATGCCTCCCCCAAGTGTTCCCCGAAAGGTTTCCACTGCGGCTCGGGGAACACCTGGTCCCATCACTTATCCACGCTCTGGACCCAAAAGTTTGGCCACAAGGGCGTTTTCAAAAAGGCAGGGGGCGGCGGTGATACGCCGTTGACGTCTTCGGTGCACATGCATATATGTGTGTATATCTGCCATGATACGCACGTCCTCGAGGAAGCAGAGCTTAGAGGCGATCAACTAGGGCCGTCCCGTTCGCGACTTGTTTGGCCGGCTCGCCTGACTCATCTTCAAAATTTCGCAAAAGGGAGGGATGCACCCCCCACGCAGCTCGCGACGTCACGGACCAACAACATTAAGGGCTTCCAACTGTTGGACATAAAACCTTCGCGCAATGCAACGGTTCAAGTGATTCTGGAATCCGCTCTTCGAAAACAGCCGTTTCGCGTGAGATCTCCCAACATTGAAATCCGACGTATTCAAAGTTGCCATCATGCTCTTCAAAACGACAATTTCGCTAAAGACGTACTCCACACACTAGCTTCGGAGCTCGGCTTCAAACAATAATCGCATGGTGTGGAACACCCCCTTGCGCCACACACATCGAAACTATGACACCCCCACCTGCGTTCGACTGCGACCCCGCTGTTGCACATCTTTCCCAACAACTCCCTGGTTATCATCCTTCTTGTCTGTCATCTCCTCTGCTTCTCAGTCTCCAACCTCCTACCCTCGAGATCCGACTTCACGTTCCTTGCCAATTTCGACGAGGCTTAAGTGTTTTATTTCTGTCTCTACAAGCCAGGGGACGCATGTGCCACTGATACGTATGTATGTATGTATGTATGTATGTATGTATGTATGTATGTATATATATATATATATATATATGTGTACGCATGTATAGGTCTGTGTCCCTGTATGTGTACATGTGTATGTGTGTGCGTGTGTATGTGTGTGTGTGTTTGTGTGTGTATGCGTGTGTTGGGCCCTGGCTTGTTTCAACACTGTCGCATCTTGCGAAGCAACAGAAGCGGATCCCGCTGGCGCATCGAACCCGACATGGCTTCATGTGTTTGACCAGGTCTCTGCGTCGTTCGCCATCCCAGCCCACAACAAGTGCCAAAACCTGGGCTGGGGGAGGAAAGGCCCATGGCCCCCATAATAACCCCAATATGGTATCCAAGAAAGCCGATACGGCCCCATGAGGCCTCCAAGACGGCCAATATGGCGTCCAAGTCTGACAGAATGGCCTCCAAGACACTTCAAGATTGCCTCCCAAACGGTCACGGTGGCCAAAAGACTGAAAAATAAGGCCTCGAAGATGCCTAAGAGGCCTCCAAGTGGACCCCCCGGAGGGTCCGAATACGCCCAATGTGTTATGCTCGAACCATGATACATAAATTATATCCTCCAGTGACATAAGGTTACTCCACAATGCGAACCCCATTGGTTGCCAGCCCGCGCTCCTCTTGGTCATCCGGAGCGCGAGGGGGAGCAACTGCTTCTCGAACTCTTCGGGAGTGACCACGGCGACTACCGAGGCCCAAGCGGCCAGATTGCCGTCGGAGGCTGCGCCCTTGCTCTCTAAGACACCCTTGGCGTACGCCTCGACCAGGGCTCCGCGGCCTGTGAAACTCTCTGGGTAGGCGACGGACTCGGCGCCCAGGGCAGCTACCAACACAGCAGGCGCCTGCTGTGGCTTCGTTGAACGGCGGCAATGGCGATGACGGCAGCACAGAACATGATGATGTTAATTGCGTGTGGGCGATTGTTCAGTGGAGGCCCGTCCACAAGAAACCTTCCACAAGAAACCCAACCCTGAGACCCCAGGACGTCCACTGATTTTTGGCGTGGGAACGTCGCGCTCTCCATCAGAAAACCCTCGAGACCCAACAAGCCCAGGGAACCCTGGAGGCAAGCAGGGTGTTTCTTGGCATGGGCCCCCACTGCAGCAGCGCTAGAGTTGCTGGTGCTGGTGCTGATGCCGACTGTGCTTGACGGGGAGGTCAGGGCCCATGTCCGACGAGCAGCCCTTCCGTTGCTCTGCTGCTGACGGTGCTTGCCCATGGCGGACTTCGGAAACCCTTTGCACCAAAACGTGCTCATCTCTTGGACGCGTCTTTCTTTTTTACTCCCGCCGCCTTCTGCCGAGCTTCCGCCGGCTTCCGCCGGCGGAGGCGGCCTCGTGTCACTTCCGCCGAGCTTCCGTCGCCCTCCGCGGCGGAAGAGATGACAACTCATTCGATCCTCGAAAACAACGCGGTTTCTCGCCATCGCTCGGACGTCCATTCCCTGTGTTTTTTTCTGTTTCGTGCGTGGTTTTTTCGCCAAGTGATCAAGGATGCTCCTCGATGGTCCTCGCCGAAGAAAAAACGCACACGTCCGAGCGATGCCAAGGTTTTTGGATCGCCCCACATGACCTCCAGCGTCCCGGGTGTCTCGGGCGACCCTTCGGCTATGGGCCCCCGCGGCCTGCTCTGGTTGCATCGAGGGCCCGTGGGCCACCCTCTTGCTAGGTTGAGGACAGGGAAGAGCACGAGGAGGAGGAGGAGTAGGAGCAGAAGGCCAACACCGCTGCGACGACAAATAACAGAGGGAGGCGGGAGACAGACGTTATGGGTGGAGGGGAAGCGGTGGTGGAGGCGGACGAGGACGAGGAGGGATGATGGGACAATGCCGCCACCTCCTCCTGCTCAGCATCTTCCCGTTCCCTCACCTCTCTCTCAGGCTCTCGTCCTTGCTTTCTATCTCTAGCTCTTTCTCTCTTTCTCGCTCTCCCTCTCACTCTCCCTCTTTCTCCTGTCTCTCTCTCTCTCTCTCTCGCCCCCTCTTTTTCGATACAAGTAACTCTGTATCACTGTCTCTGTCTGTATCTCTGCCTTTGCCTATGTCTCCGTCTCGCTCTCTCGCTCTCTCTCTCTCTCTCTCTCTCTTTTGCTATCTCTCACGTTCTCTCCCTCTCTCTCCCTATCCCTCTCCCGCTTCCCTCTTGAACTGCACACTATGGGCACTGCTTTCCTCTCTCTCCCCCGAGGGCGCCTTCGGGGCGTCCCGCCCCCCCCCCCCACCGCAAACTGCTTCTACACGCGCGGGTTGAACAAGTTATTATCATGTCGGTTTTGCAATCCGAGTGCATTCGGTGTTTCGGTGTTTCAACTTGGTGCTCCGCTGCGGCGTGGGCCTCATGTTCGGATTGGCGCTGTGCTCCCGTCGTTCAGAATGCCGCGCTCGCCCAAGCGGCGCGGACCACTTTCCTGGACCCGAGTCCCTTTTCATCGCTGCCCCCCACCAGCATTTCCGCCACATCCGCTGTCCAACTCCCCTGCATGCTCCTCCGACTCCTTGCACTCCAACTCCTGCTGCTGTTGTTCGTCCTCGTCCTTCTTGTTCCTCATCTGTTTTTTCTTCCTGTCCATCCTCCTGCTCACCCGCCACCTCCTCCTCCTCCTCCTCTTCCTGCATGAATGTGAGCGGTTGTTCCTACTTTCCGATTGCGCATCATACGATGAGGTTGTGTTTGGACTTCCAGGTCGGCTATGACACTCGCCCGAGGATGCGCAGAGACAAAATCAGTGCAATGGGAAGGGATGGGAGGGAAGGAGGGATAGGCTGTGAGATATGGCGCGAACACGCCTAGTTTGCTCTGCCCCCTGTCTCTCTCTCTCTCTATTTGTTGTGTGTCGTTATATATATCTCTCTATCTCTCGCTCTCCCTCTTGTTATACTTGTACATATATTTTTTTATAGAGATATATATATACATACACATATCTCTCTATATATAAATCTGTTTACATACATATATATATATATATATATATATATGGGTGTATCCCCCCCAACCTCTCTCCCACTCTCATGTGTTTGTGTTCGCTTTCTCTCTCTCTCTCTCTCTATCTCCCCATCTCTCTCTCTCCCTCTCTCTCGATCAATGTAATGTAGATTATCTACAGATGCGTTTATGGATTCCTCTGTCTCGTTATAGATGTACATACATGTTTTCGACACAATGCCTCGAGGCACACAAGGGAGCGCCAGCAGGTCCCCAGGAGTCCGAAGTCTTCGGTCCTGCGCATCTTAAACTTTAGAAGGTCCCGCAGGCACGGGTCCCGGATGCCCCGAGCTTGCTCGCGTGCTTCTTGGTGCTCGGCGTGCCTCTTGGGGTGGTTCGCATAGACGGCTCCGAGACGGCCCCCCGAGACGGCCAAAGAGGCTCCCAAGACGGACTCTGGACGGCCCAAGAGGCTCCCAATACGCCCCAGCGATCAACCGGTGGCAGCACACGATGTCTCCTCAGGATGTGTTCGATAGTACAGATTATCTTTGGTCATCGTATCAACTCGTAGGATACGCATCTTTTCACCTGATGCAAAGGGCCCCTTAGCATCAAATGGTAATGGTACAGACACATGAAAAACAACTGCTTGCAACGCATCATGCTCTGCTGAAGCTGCTGGTCTGTGCTAATTTAGAAAAATCACAGACACAAAACTCGGTATAGTAGTGTTACATTGACACGGGCGGGGAAAAGAGTTAGCACATGTTCATTCACAAGGGCGCATTGCCAAGATCAGGGCTCCCCGGAACTTTACCCGGAAACAAAACCTTGAAACTCAAAACCGAAACTAAAATATATCAAACGTCACCAATACCCCGGGCCCCCAGCACACGCCAGTCTGACTCGAATGTGGATTTCACTGGCGGTCGCGACAACGACCTTAATATATCTCGACTTTGTCCGCGCACCAGGCGATCGGTCGATCTCGCTGGGCAGAGACGCGAACAAGACGTGCTCCTCGGACCGCTCAATCAAAAGTCGGCTTCCGCCGACCACCTTGCTCACGTCGGCCCTGTCGACCGTCATCCTCCCGTCGGCCTTGCCGACAACCATGCCGAACTGGTTTCCTGCCCAAGCGGCCTCTGGGCGTCCCTAATCCGGTCACGAAAACTCGATGAGCGCACTCGGGCAAGGCTGGGACCTCGGCGTGCTGGGGTCCAGGTTGTAGCCACGCTGCGACTGGACGAGCAAGCTGCGCGCCTTATTCTGCTTCGTCGGCGTCGGGTCGGTCCCAGTCGCTGTCGTCTTGACCTTGACGGGCGCTGTCTCGGGCTCGCCCGTCTTCTCGATCTCCGCGTCGGTGTCGAGCTGCTCGGCCCCGTGCGCCCCCCGCGCTCCAGCCCGAAACCCGCGATATAATGCCGCGACAAAGCCAATGACGAAGCCGAAATCCATTGTCTCCATGGTCAGGTCTTTCCAGTCGGCCGTCGGTGGGTTGAACAACTCGACGCCGCCGGGCGCATGCTGCGCCACCTGCCCCGCCGCGCTGCCGCCTGCGCTAGCTGCCAGCGCTGCAGCCAGCTTCGCTCCACTTGCCCAAAAAGGCGCTTGCCCTTGGCCTTCGCTTTCTCCTTCGTCTCTGCCGCCGGCGTTGTCTCGAGGGCGTCGCGAAGTGCCTCGCCGACGTCGCCCAGATCCCTCTCGCGTTGCTCTATCGCTCTCTCGGGGAGCTTCTTGCCATCCACGAAGTCGGGGCCGCGGCGCAACGCATGCGCTCCACGGCGCGGCGCGTCTGCCGTCATCTGGCAAGCCGAGAGCCCAGGAAGTCCGCCCGCCATCTGCTGCTGCGTGTTCGCCCACATCCAAGTGGCACCTCTCTCCGTCATCTGCTCGTTCGCGATCTTCACCTCGACGGCCGCGATGCCCGAGCCTGCCGTCGCTGAGCAAGACGCGTCGTAGAAGCACTTCGCATCCGCGATGAAGGGCGACTCTCCCAGCACGCCGTCGCTTCTTCGAGCTCCAGGTCGGGTCGCCGGCTCCGCGCCGCGTAGACCTTCACCCGCATCAGTGAGTCCGCGCCCAAAGCTGCTGCCTGGGCCTCCGCCGACAGCGAACTCCTGCACAGACGCTGACACTTCTTCGAGGTCCACTCCATGGGCACGAAAGGGGTCGGGGTACCGGCGTTGAGCTCGTCCGCGAATCCGATGAAGATCGCGTAACCTTCTTGCGAACTGTCGCCATATCGGCTCGCCAGGCTCGCGTCGGTGTAGCTGCCAAATCGCAGGTTGTTCCAGGCCTTGTCGAACCCGAAGTACAGCTCTACGTCCGCGTTGGCCCCCAGAAAGCGTAGATCCTTGTTCGCGCCGAGGAGGTCCTGCACGGCGGCTCGGCCTGCCGCCGAAGCTCGGAATGGCGCAGTAGACGCTGCTATGATCACTCCGAGGGCCGCTGGGCCCCGATGCTCATGAGCCCCTTCGGCGACAGCGCGCTCGCGGGGTCAGCTCCCCGATGCTTCTCGACGGTGATGGGCGACACCGCGCACAGGTACTTCTCGAACTTGAGGGCCGCGCTGAAGGTGCGCGGGGGCTGCTCCACTTCGGCCCCAGTGAAGATCAGACTCGGCCAGAACTCCCACTTGCCGAACTTGAACTTCTCGCTGAACGCCCCTAGCCTCGCCTGGAAGCGCCAGGTGTCGTCATGCTTCGCGTGGAGGTCCCGTCCGTTCGTCACGCCCTCGCCGCATCCGAAGAAGTCGCCCACATGCTCGCAGATCAGGCCGCCCGCCACGTAGGTCTGGCCCTCGAAGCTGCGCGCGTCGAACGGATCGTCCACGACCCTCGCCGGGCGGGCAGCAGCAGGCCATCCTCGAGCTCGCGGTTCCTGAGCCCGATGATCTCCTTCGTGACTTCGTCGGGGCAGTCGTGCCAGAGCTTGGGCGACCGCGGGTGACCAAAGCACGGCTTGACCATCTTGAGCAGCTGCCCAGGTTGCAGGCCGATCTGGTGCGAGAGCATTTCTCTCATCTCCTTCGTCGGGCTCGCGCGCAGCTTGCGGCCGCGTGCGCTCGCGTCCTCAGCCTGCAGGAATGCGGACTTCACATCTTCCCTGGACACCCTCCATTTCCTCAGAGACGCACCCAGCATGACCGCGCGTCGGCCGTGCCTGCTGAGGGTCGGCGCCTCCTTGTCGAGCTGGCTCTCGGCGACGTCGCGCGCCTTGCACCATTGGTAGACAACGCGCGCGTTGGGCACCTTCTGCCCTTCATGTTCCACTCGAGTAGGAAGCGTAGAGGGCAGCAGGCCCCGAGATCCACATCCGCCTCACTGACGGGCCCCCAGCCGTCGCTGCGATTGAAAACCTCGAGGGCCTCCAGCTTCGCCGCGTAAAACTGGCCCTTCTCCTCGGGCGTCAGCCTACCCTCCACGATGGCGGGGGCTTTCTTCTGGAAGGCCAGAGTGTCGAAGGTCTCGGTGGACTCCTCCAGGAGCAGCACCTCGTCGCCCACCACATCGGCGAGCGCAACTTCCTCGCCCTACGGGGCGAGCTTCGCCCGCGACAGGCGGGCGCGCTGGGCCGGCGGGGCGCCGTTCAGCTTTTCGGCCTCCTCGGCGCCCCTCTTGGCCATCGCCTCGATGTGGGGCCTGCTAGGCTCCAGCGCAGCGCTACCAGACGCGCCGGCGCTGGCCGCCGCTGGCCAATCGCCCTCATCCTCGCCGGGCGTCGCCGCCCGAGGATCTCCAGGAGCTGCCGCGGCAGCTGCTCCCGTCGGTCCGTCGGTCTCGTCCGTCTCCATGCGTGCCCGGGCGACGGGCTGATGCTGCTCGCCCATGTCGCCCAAGGTGTCGTCGTACTGGGGCAAGCGCCCCTCCTCGGCGAGGTCCCAGTAGCTGCAGGCCCCCTTCGTCCGCCTGAGCACGCGCCTGAGCTTCTCGATCGTGCTGAGCGGGCTGTCGGGGCCCTCGCTGCGCCCTTCTCGTTCGCGGGCTTCGCCTGGCAGCTCGGGGCGGAGCTGCTCCGCGGTGCGTCGGTAGATCGTGCGTCCGTGCGTCGCCCGCGCCACCGAGGCGTGCACCGCGCGGTCCTCGTTGACCTTCGCATCCACTGCCGCCGCCGTAGCTGGGCCGTGCCAGTGGCACTTCTCCAGCCCCTGCGCCTGCTCGGGTCGCCAGAGGTAGACCCACTCGCCGATCTCGTAGTTCTTCCTCGTCGGCCTGCTGCGCGCCAGCAGCGCCGCTGGCGCGGCGCGAGAGCATAGGGCCTCGATGAAGGCTGCGGCGGCGGCCGCCCTCCTGATCACCATATCGCGCGCCTCGCCCTTGGGGCCGACGGGCCGAAGTCCTCGTCGCGGAGGGCGCCCAGGATCTCGGGCTGCGCCCCCAACGCCAGCGCCGCGGGCGAGAACCCGCGCGCGTTCCTCAGGGCGTTCCGCTGGCAGGCGGTCATGCTGAGAGCGGTCTTGAGCGAGTCGTCGGGGAACTGCAGATTGTACTTGCTGGGCTGTTCCTTCCTGACCGCGTGGTTCCGCTCCATCAGGCCCAACGTGTGGCGCTCGCCTTCCGGGACCAGGTCGAGCGTGATGCTGCGCTGCTCATCGAGTCGGGCGCGCTCGGCCGCGCGCGCGCCCCCGCGTCCATCCGCGTCGCCTCAGGCTTGCGGGCCCAACTGATCCAGAGCTTCCCCCATAGTTTCGCCGCCGCGCCTCCTTCGAAATCGGGTAGTCGACCTCGTAGCGTGCAAACTCGCCCATGATGGCCAGGATCTTCCTCTCCTTTTTCCTTTGTGCGATGCAGTGCACGTCCGTGCAGACCACCTCGTTGAACCTCTTGGCCCTCGGCAGGACTGAGATGCGACGAAACGCGAACTGCTCGGGGCCTCTGCCTGCCTAGACAAATCTCGCACTGGAAGAGCCCGGCGGGCGCGCTGGGCCCACCCCGCCGGAGCGCCGGCGTGCTGCATGGCAACCGCTTGCGCTGCGTTCGACGGGTGGCCCAGGCTGACATGTGCGCGCTTCACCGCTCGGATCGTCGATGCCCTGAACCGCTTCCTCAGCACCTGCGTCATGTCGGCGTGCTCGATGGCGTCGATGTCCGCGTAGATCTCCTCGGCCGCGCCGATGTCGCCGATGTCGTCGGCCGTGCGCCCGTGGGCGGTCAGGTGGGCCATCCTCCTCGCCGCTGGCCACGGGTAGTTCTGAGCCCGTTGGGCGACCTTGCCCCGCAAGATCGCGGTCCTCCGCGCGCGCGCATGCCGGGTTCATGCGGTGAATGAACTCCTTGTTGGTCGACTGCAGTCTCGTGGGCTTCTGGCAGGGCATGCCCTTGCCCTGCATCCTGTACTTCGCCCCTGATCTGCGCTGGTCGAGCCTTCAATGATATCCTGGCAACTTGTCCCGCGTCTTCGTCCGCCAGTCTGGCCCCTGCCACGGGCCTTCTACATGCGCGCGTCGGCTTCCGTTCTGCTGCTTCGCACGCGCCGTCGCAATCACCTTGAGAAGCGCCCGCTCTTCGTCGCCCACTGGCGACGTCGATCTCTCTGGCTCGTTTCTCTGAGATTTCCTCGTTTCAGCGTTTCCAAGAGCACCGGTGCTTGCGCGGGGGATCGAAGAAGAGATCGTCGGGCTTGACGCCGTCGATCTTGCTCGGGAAGCCTCGGACCACGGCGGGCTGCGAGAAGTCCCAGCCGCCCTCGACCCTGAACTGGAGCGCCTCGATCCGCGGAAACTCGAGCAGCTCCTGCGACAAGGCCCCCTGGCCCACGAATGCCTCCCATACCATCCTTTTGCGCGGCCCCCGCAGCGTGCCCCTAATGTCGGGCGCCGCCTGCTCCAGCGCCAGGACCAGGTCCGAGTGGGCGTCCACGTCCATCAGGTGGCGCCCCGGGCCCGCGACCTCCTCCGTGGCCTGGGTTTCATCGTCGCTGCCGATCTCCGAGAACTCCGTCCGCGTCTCGAGGTAAAAAAAAGCGTCGGGGTCAAGCGCCGACGGGCCCCCGGCCCCCTTTCGTCGCTTGCGTCGCCCATGGCCGAAACTCCTTCAGCGTCTCTGTCCGTCGCGTCGCTGCCGCCGTCGTCTCCGTCGGCAGGGCCCCCCATCGTTCGCGGCGCCGTTGGCGTCGCGCCCAGCTCCCCCAACAGGTCTATGATGAAATAACCCTTCTCACCACGCTTGGACTTCATGCAGCCCTTGCCGGCGAGATCCTTCATCGCGCACTTTCCAGCAATGCAATCCTGGATCAAGCCTCGTTCTTCTGCGCGGGGCCGCGCGACCACCAGCGGCGCCCAACCCTCGACGAGATGGGTCGCGATCTGCTTCTTGACGCCGAACGGCCTCGCCGACAGTGTCACCGCTTGCTCCGCCTCCAGGGTCTTGCCGTTTCCGAATCGGAAGCGTCGGTCACTCATGCCGCAGTCGACCACATGTAAGAACTGCTTCGAACGAAATAGCTCCTCCCACTGCGCCCGCGCCCCGCCGCCCATGACGGGCCGCGCGGCACCTCCATCGCCGGTGCCTTTGCCGGACCTCCTCGGTCGAGTTGGCGTACTCCAGCGTCTCAAAATCCTCCACCATGCGCGCCTCGTCTTCGGGCATAGTGAAGCCACCATGCCTGGGGCGCTTGAACCTCGGGCCACGCTGCTGGGCATCGCTCGATGCAGTCTGGCCCGCTGGCGACGATGGCGCCCTCTTGCCGAGCGCTCCTTTCTGAGGCCGGAAAGCTTCGGGTCGTGGTGGGCCAAATCATTTTGCCGCGCCCTCCGCCTTCGCCGCGTCTGTTGTCTCTGCCAATGCCTGGTTTCGTCGCTCGCGCGCGTCCTGCGCGGCTGCCCAGGCTGTCGCGCTGGTTGTTGTTGTCGGGGGCGAGGGCGACGCTCGGGTAGAATCCCTTGGCCTTGGCGATCTCTGCCACGCGCTTCTTCGCGTCCACGATGGAGGTGGGCCTCGTCGCGCGCCGCTTGGGCCTCCTCGACCTCCTGCGGCAGCTCCTCCGCGACGTCACCTCTTCATGCTCGTCGTAGTCACGCTTCGCGTTGTCCTCGTACTCTTCCACCTCCAGGTACGGGTCTTCGTAGCACAGGCCTCGCTCCCACTCGCAATCCTTCGTGTACTTCACGTCGTCCTTCAGGTTATGTCCAACCAACATTTTCTCGACTCGTTTCACGTCGCGCTTGTCGGGCATAGCTTCAGCCCCGCATACGTCGAGCAGGGCTGTCTTCACTTTCGCCCAGCAGAGGCCGTCCACGCATTGACTGCGAACCTGGGCGGCGCCCGACGGCGGGACAGCCGCTCGCGCGAGGAGGTGCCAGCCCGCCAGCATGTCTGGGATCTCCATCCCGGCCTCCTCAAGCTCCCTGATCTCTCTCATGTGGCGGAGGCAGTACAGGTGGCGGAGGCAGCGCAGCTTCATCGTCTCCTTTTCTTGGCGAGCGAACTTGCCGAAGAAGAGATCGGCACGGGCTGGCAGCTCGGTCTGGTTGTCGCACTTGTCGCACTCGTCCAACACCTGGAACAATGGCCTGCAAACCACTTCCGTCTCTAGTGCGTCCAGGTCGATGTCCTCCGTAGCCTCCGCGGCCTCCCATTGCAGCGAGATCATGACCAAGAACGCTCCTTCGCTGACCGCGGTGGCGCCGCGTCTCCTGCAGCGCCGCTCGAGGACCTCCAGCTCGCGTCGAAAGGCTCGATAGAGCCGTCGGTCCTCAGCAGCTCGCAGCTCGGCGCCGTCTTGGACAAACCAGCGACCAAGCCTCGTCCTCCCCCGTCCCAAGTGGATCCCCACTGCCAAGCACACAAACCTTGCCAGGCAGCCCAATCCGCGCAGTTGGCCTCGTCCGCGTCCGCGCTGCTCGGCGGGATGCGTCCCTCCTCCGCGCTGGTCTTGGCGGGAGCGGCGGTCGAGGCTGGCGGCGGGCCGCCTGGCGGCGGTCTGGCCGGGGCGGCGCGCGAGGCGCGCCGTCTGGCATGGGGTCTTCTGGCTCCGCGACCAATATCAACCGATGACAGCACACGAAGTCTCCTCGGGGTGCGTTCGATCGAACAAATCATCTTGATAGTCGTACCAACGCGTAGAATACGCAACCTCTTAACTGACTCAAGGGGCCCCCGAACATCAAATGGCAATGGTACAAGCACATGTGAAACAACTGCTTGCAACACATCTTACTTTGCTGAAGTTGCTGGGCTGTGCTAATACGCAAAAACACGTACACATAACTCGGTAGAGCGAAGGTTCTATTGACACCAGCAGGGCTCAAAAGGGACCTCCAAGATGCCCGAGACATTGATTAACCCACTGTTTTTGACCAAACATGTAGCGTTTCCACATTTTCGAGCGTCCATCGCCCCAGAATCTTCCCAAGATGCCCCGTGAGAGTGCCCCCATACGGGCCGAGAAGCCCCCAAGACGGCTCAAGAAGCCTCCAAGAGGGCCTAAGAGGGGGAAAACGAAGACGCCTCGGGAGCCTGTAAGATAACACCCGAGACCCCCAACATCCCCCCCCAGAAACGCCCAAGAGGCCTCCAGGAGGCCTACCAGAAACCCTAAGGCCCCCCCCACTCAAGATGCCTCCGAGAGGCCTCTGAGAGGTATCCCATGTGATCCCAACAAGCATCCAAGAGGCAACTGGTCGACAACCCAAGCACTGTGTGTGGATGGGCCGAAGGCCACTTAATCTACAGAAATCAACTTCAAATACGCTTATATTCGCACCGCTGTATGTATCCCGGTCTCTATGTCGCTCTCTCTCTCTCTCTCTCTCTGCTTTTTTTCTATCTCTCTCTCTCTCTCTCTCTCTCCCCCCTTTCTCAGAAGAAGCAGAGGAGGAGCAGGGACAGGAGAAGAAAAAGGAGACGGGAGAGCAGGTCGAGCTGTTTTGCTTTTCTCTATTGCTTTCTCTCTCTCTTTCCCTGTCTTTCTGTCCGTGTCTGTCTGTCTGTGTCTGTATGTCTGTCTGTCTCTCAGTCTGTTTGTCTCTCTGTCCCTGTGCATATAGTCAACATCAACACTCCCAATCTCTCTCTCTCTCTCTCTGCCTACCCCTCTGTCTCTGTCTTTTTCTCTCTGTCTGTCTCTCTCTCTCTCTATCTCTATCTATTTCTCTGGATGTATGAAAGATGCCTATCAGAAAGAAGTGGACGAGATGTGGATGAGGCTGGATGGCGAAGGAAGGATCACGGAGCAGCGAGGACAGACTTAAACACGAACCCGAAACCGAACCACAACCGTTTCTCAACGCATGGGATTCCAGATCTCTCGTCACAAAGTTGGTTTTAGCACGGTCGAGCGTTTCTGTAAGCCACGGGTGTCGAAGCAGGCCTGCGGAGGCCCAAGCCCCAAAAGACCAGCCATCGCATACTTCTTGACGGACGGCATAGGTCTGCTCATGAAACTGACGGTGCTGAAGATGCTGACTATGCAAGCGCAGCGGGCGGCAAGGACACGACAAGCTCGTGTCATGACGACTTGCGCGTTGGTTTCTGACACCGCGTGGACGTTGAACCCCGGGCGATCGCGACTTTCCGATCGCGCGGATCGCCTGGAATGTCCATTGAGGCCACTGACGGCATTGAACCATTCACGCCAGGGAACGGGTCGAAACCACGTCGGCGCATCGCAAGCCTACGGCACCTCTCCATCCCCACGTCGCAGCGCCCAGAGCCTGTCCTGGCCAGACCTGGAATGCGTTTTCCTTGCTCCCAGGGCAAACAAAAAGACCCCCCCCCGAAGCTCGGGGAGATGTACTCCAGATTTCGTAATAAAAGGGAGGGGGTCTCAACCCTCCCAGACGAAAAGTTTTAGACCCCCCCCCCGTGGGAGAACCCCCCAAAACACCGTCCCCAGACCCCCCCAGGCCCTCCAAGATAGCCTGGAAGAGACCCCCCCCCGAAATGAGACCCCCCTCCCTGTATTACAAATCTGGAGTACCTTGGTGGGACCTGGTGGGTCGGACGCGAGGGGAGGATTGCACAGGGGGGGGGGGGCCCGGAGAATCAGCTCGAGTAGCGGGGCTTCCCGGCGCCTCACAGCACCGGAGGCGCCCATGCTTCAAGGGAAGAGCGTGTAGCGGCGGGGCCGAGACCCCGGCTGCATGCGGCTAGTTTCATAGAGGACAGAGGAATGCCTCAGGACCCGTTTCCCTCAAGTCCCGCTTGATTCACGTCGAACCTAAAAACAAACAGAAACGCACGCTGATGACCAGCTTCGAACTTATCCCTATCCCTGAGGTCGACGAGCCCAAAGGCGATGACAATCAGAGGGATATGCAAGCTGGTAAACAGACACACGCTTGTTGATCTGCGGGGCGAGAGCGAACCTCTTCCGTTAAAGGCTAGACGGGCTACGCACAGCTTTTATTAAGGAGACAGGGCACAAGAAGGCGGGGCCTCAGGCGGCCGGAGCGGGCGGGGCCCGGGGAGCAGGCGGTGCCGAAGCGGATGCGCAGGAGAAGGTACGCCATGGACAGGGGCCGAGGGCGAAGACCCGGAGGGCGAAGGAAATGGTGTTGCCGTCAACGGCACTGTAAACACACACACTTACACACACACACACACTTACGCTTTTGGGCGATCGCGGCCTCGCGCGCGGCGTCCCGGCGAAGCGAAGCGAGGCCGGCGCGGAACCCGCGCGCGCGGCCGGGCCCCCAGAAGCGGGGTGTCCTTGGGTCGACTGCCGCGCACGCACACATACACACACACACACAACACGCATACACACAACACGCATACACGCATACACGCATACACGCAACACACAACACACAACACACAACAAACCAGACACACCAGACACACCAGACACACCAGACACAGCACACCAGACACACAACACACAACACACACAACACACACAACACACAACACACACACACGCAACGCACGCACGCACACGCACGCACGCACGCACGCACGCACGCACGGAGCTCCGCGCGCGGAACGCGCCAGGGGCGGCGCCAGAGGTGCCGCCAGAGGGTCCCCGCACCGAGCCGCCGCGCGGAGCTCCGACACTTCAGGACTCTGCACTTCCTCCTTCGACTCGTGGCGAGGGGTGGGGGTGCCCCCCCTGACTTCGGATCCGCCGTGCTCCCTGGGCGACTTCGACACTAGGGCGGAACTGTTCGCCTTGCTGTTCAAGCTCCTTTGAGGCCGGTGTCCGCCGTCGCTGGCTCCACCATGCCGCCGCGGCAATCTATCCGCCCTACTTTCCTGGGGCGGGAACAGTCCGCCCGGCTTTTTCGCCTCGTTCGGGGTGCAAATCCGACACGACTTTCATCCGCAGGGTCAACCAAAGCACAACGGATCTGAGGTCAGGGCCGGCTCGAGCCGTGGCCGGCGCCCCAAGTGGCAGTGTTTTGCCTCGGATCCGTTTTTGACGGCCCCGAGGCCCAATAACTGACCCCGGAAGCCGAAATCAAGGACGGACGCTCGGATTGAATTAAAGTGATCTCATCGAAAATCTGGAATGGGGGGCCGGGCTGCCCCTGCTTTGGGCCGTGGCCAGCGCCTCCTCTGGCTTCTTCGCCACCCATCCGGCGGCGTGCTCCGCGAAGAGGGGGCAGAGGTGCAGCAGCCGGCACAGGGACCGCGAAGCCTTGAGGCTCCATCTGGGCCTCCGCGGGGGCGGAATCATCACCGGGTGGCCCAAGACCGCGTGGTGACGAACCGCGTGTTGACCTCAGGATCCCCAACGACCTCACCGCACGGTCTGTCACCACAGGGTCTTGAGCCCTGGAGGACACTCGTCCGAGACACCCTCGGAGAACGGCCCGAGTCTCAAAACATCACGCGTCGTGGTCACCACAGTGTTTGGGGGCCCCCGAGGCCTCGCCGGGAACCATCCTGGGGAAGGCATCTTTAAAATAGTTATGACCGGAAGCGACACGCTTCGAGATCCGAGGGTGCCTCGCGTCTTCCGAGGCTCTCGGCGCTTCTCTCTGGCCTTGGGATGCTCGCCGGCACCTGCGTCTCGCCGAGAGCGTAGTCTTCGAGCTACCGAATGTGGCGGGTTTTGTCCTGACGTCCCCAGGCTGGCCTCTGACATCGCGCGGATCGTCCATCCCTGAAATGTCTGCGTCTTCTCGATCGCCAGATTGCTCCATATTGGCCCATGCTGGACCACTAGCTGCGTTCAACCTTGAAGGTGCGCGTCGGGGTCGCTGCCGCGTCGGCACGACTCGATCATATCGTGAGAGGGAAACTCGGCTGGCGCTCATTTGAGCTCGCGTGTGTCACTTGGCTCGGCCACGTTGAACGATATACTGGGTGGCTTGCGGCCACGTCCTGCGCACTTCGGTGATCTTGAAAACGCTGGTGGCGTTATTTGTTGATTCCGTTTTCAAGTTTTTGGGCACCGTTGTTGCTACGTGTTCGGGTCTGGGATCGGCCCGTGGCCCACTTGCTCGCTTTCTTTCAACATGTTCCTCGTTATTACGTTGGCAAAGCGTTTTTGTTTACGTCGTTTGGCATCGCAGTGCCGACTGCCCGACGTCACGTTCTGGTCGAGCGGCAAGCGAAACCTGGAGAACAAAACAACAACGCCCCCTTGCGCTTTGCAGAACCACTTAATTAGCCTGCGCAGCCGCGGCAGCCGCCGGGAAAGGGAAGCCACGAGTGAGGGGCCCCGGGGGGGGGGGGAGCAGCTCGCCAGCCTCCGCCGCCGCCCGCGGGGGGGCCCGCCGTGCCGCCCTCCGCCTCCCTCGCCTCGTTGCTTCCCTTCTCCTTCCCCCTTTTTCTCCTCGTCCTTGCCCCGCTCGTAATTCCCTCCTCGGCATCCTTTTCCGTCCCGTTATCCTCCCACTGCTCCTCGCCTCCCTCTATTCCACCTCCCTCTCATCCTTCTTGCCCCACCTTCTCCATCCCATGCAGCTTTCAACAAAACGATCGTGACGAATATCGAACACTATTTTCAAATAGGCGGCCAGCGCTGAAAATGCACACATCTCCTGTCGGCGCTTTTACGTATTCGGCCAAACGCCAGCGATTGAACAGCAACGCGGTGTCCTTGATTGAAACACGCCCACTCGACCTGGTCCAAGTCGGGTCGGTTACGCGCAACCGTGCAAACACTGCACATCACCGGCGAAAGATGGAGCTCATTCAGCAGCGCAGAAATGGCTAAATATATATTCTTCATGGGGCAAATGGTATTGGCGCGGCCAAGATTCGCGCACAGCACGGGTTGCGCATCAAGAAGACAAACTTACCCTGGCGACGTACTCAACCCTTGCGCAATGCGGGGCATTAAAAAATCAGGATTGCTACAACGGAGGCGATGATGTAACATGGACGAATGTGGATTTGCGAGCAGCAATCGGAAGCTCGAAGGCCCCCGTTCAAGATATAAGGGCGTCGTAGCGGTTACTAACGCAGCCCCGCCAAGGACGGCGAGGTCTCGCGCAGGTCCCCGCGGTGCCTCAGTCCGGACGACCCACCAGCAGCCCTCCAAAGCGGCGACATCGGCGCAGATCGCAGCCCCCCAGTGACGGCGAGGTCTCGCTCAGGTCCCCGCGGTGCCTCAGTCTACAGGACACGCCAGCAGCCCTCGAAAGTGGCGACAGCGTCGCAGATCGCAGCCCCCCAGGGACGGCGAGGTCTCGCCCAGGTCACCGCGGTGCCTCACTCCGCAGGGCCCACCAGCAGCCCTCGAAAGTGGCAACGGCGTCGCAGATCGCAGCCCCCCAGGGACGGCGAGGTCTCGCTCAGGTCCCCGCGGTGCCTCACTCCGCTGGACCCAACAGCAGCCATCGAAAGCGGCGACAGCGTCGCAGATCGCAGCCCCCAAGGGACGGCGAGATCTCGCTCAGGTCACCGCGGTGCCTCACTCCGCAGGACCCGCCAGCAGCACTCGAAAGTGGCGACAGCGTCGCAGATCGCAGCCCCCCCCCCCCCCACGGACGGCGAGGTCTCGCTCAGGTCCCCGCGGTGCCTCGGTCCGCTGGACCCGCCAGCAGCCCTCGAAAGCGGCGATATCGTTGCAGATCGCAGCCCCCCAGGGACGGCGACGTCTCGCTCAGGTCCCCGCGGTGCCTCACTCCGCAGGACCCACCAGCAGCCCTCGAAAGTGGCGACGGCGTCGCAGATCGCAGCCCCCAGGGACGGCGAGGTCTCGCTCAGGTCCCCGCGGTGCCTCACTCCGCTGAACCCAACGGCAGCCCTCGAAAGTGGCGACAGCGTCGCAAATCGCAGCCAACCAAGGTGTTGCAGATCGCAGCCCCCCAGTGATGGCGAGGTCTCGCTCAGGTCCCCCCGGTGCCTCAGTCTACAGGACACGCCAGCAGCACTCGAAAGTGGCGACAGCGTCGCAGATCGCAGCCCCCCAGGGACGGCGAGGTCTCGCCCAGGTCACCGCGGTGCCTCACTCCGCAGGGCCCACCAGCAGCCCTCGAAAGTGGCAACGGCGTCGCAGATCGCAGCCCCCCAGGGACGGCGAGGTCTCGCTCAGGTCCCCGCGGTGCCTCACTCCGCTGGACCCAACAGCAGCCATCGAAAGCGGCGACAGCGTCGCAGATCGCAGCCCCCAAGGGACGGCGAGTTCTCGCTCAGGTCACCGCGGTGCCTCACTCCGCAGGACCCGCCAGCAGCACTCGAAAGTGGCGACAGCGTCGCAGGTCGCAGCCCCCCCCCCCACGGACGGCGAGGTCTCGCTCAGGTGCCCGCGCTGCCTCGGTCCGCTGGAACCGCCAGCAGCACTCGAAAGCGGCGATATCGTTGCACTCGAAAGTGGCGACAGCGTCGCAGATCGCAGCCCCGCCAAGGACGGCGAGGCCTCGCTCAGGTCCCCGCGGTGCCTCGGTCCGCTGGACCCAGCGCCAGCCCTCGAAAGCGGCGACAGCGTCGCAGATCGCAGCCCCCGAGGGACGGAGAGGTCTCGCTCGGGTCCCCGCGGTGCCTCACTCCGCAGGACCCGCCAGCAGCCCTCGAAAGCGGCGAGAACGTCGCAGATCACAGCCCCCCGGGACGGCGTGGTCTCGCTCAGGTCCCCGCGGTGCCTCACTCCGCAGAACCCGCAAACAGCCCTCGACAGTGGCGACAGCGTCGCAGATCGCAGCCCCCCAGGGACGGCGAGGTCTCACTCAGGTCCCCGCGGTGCCTCAGTCCGCTGGGCCCACCAGCGGCCCTCGAAAGTGGCGACAGCGTCGCAGATCGCAGCCCCCCAGGGACGGCGAGGTCTCGCCCAGGTCCCCGCGGTGCCTCACTCCGCAGGACCTACCAGCAGCGTTCGAAAGTGGCGACAGTGTCGCAGATCGCAGCCCCTTGGCAAGATGCATGCACAAGAGGCGCCGCAGCCAGAATGCACGCAAGGCCCCCCCAGGGATGGCGAGGTCCGCGCAAGGCAAGAGCAGACAAGAGGCAAGCAGGAGACGGGGGGCGGGAGAAAAAGAAGAAGGACGCGACCACAGTGCTCCATTCACAACGAATGCCCAACCGAGGAGGGCCGGGGGCAAAAAAAACGCAACAGCTAAAAAGGCGGACTTACGCACGCGCGGCCTTAGTGACGGGGCAGCGCAAAAGGCGACTGGCATCGCGCAGGGTACCCGTACTATTTGTATATGTGTCAGCTGCTCTAACAAGCGTTCACTTATTCACGAGACAAGCCTTCGAAATAACAACTGTGGAACAATCATTAACGGCCACCTGTCACTCGGGGCCTCCTGGGCCCCGCGGATGTTGACCCCGGCAGTTGATCTTTACTCTGGGCATTGCCCGCCTCGATGCGCGCGAATTCCTCTTCGCAGTTGCGCATCCTGGTGCGCGCGCGCGCCTGCGCGTCGTGCTCCGCGTAGCAGCAGTCGTTCCATGCGTTCTCCTCATCCCCTCCGCTCCCCGTTCTGTCCACTTCGGACACTCGCATCTTCACTTGCGTGGTAGTCGCTTCGCGGTTATTCTCGCATTGAAGATTCCCAGCACTGATGCGCTGGATCTACCGCGCATCTTCTTTAGTGGCATCGCGAGTTCGCCGGGCAAGAAATACGGCCATCTCATCGCGCTCGCCACCCCGAACTCTTCCTCAACGCGATCGTCGGCCTCGTTTCGCTTGGTCGCGATTGGACGCCTGCGCCGCTCCATTTGCCTCGCCCCGCCGCTCTGGCGTCGCCCGGCCCCCCCTCTTCCTGGCGACCCGCGCCTCGTCAAGGCCTTCCACTTCCATGCGGCCCCGACCTCCGCTGCTCGCGCGCAGCGCGCGCAAACTCTCGCGGCGCCCCCGCGCGGGCTCTCAAGGTCTGACGGGGGCTCCTTCTACTCTAGGGGGCAAACAAAACTACCTCGCTTTTGACCACCCTCGCTTCCAAGAGATACCAAGCGATGCCAAACTGCGGCCTGCGCTGGTCAGGCGCTTGACGAGGAGGCGCGTGGTATGACTTGGTTCTGCCTGAAAGCGAGAGCGGGGTGGGTAATTCACGCTCCGATACTCTCTCTCTCTCTCTCTCTCTCCCCCTGCTCTTTCCCCGTTCGCCTCGTGCCTGCATTGGCCTCCGGTGCGCCGCGCCGCTTGCGGGCCGGCGCCTGGCTGTCTTGGGCCACGTGACGCCCGCGGACTTAAACGTTCGCTGGGCAACTCTCGGTTGCCCGCGCACTCTTGCGGCAGCTCGTCGTCGCGTCGCGGTCAGCCCTCAGGCCAATTTTGACAAACCCAAATTGACTTCGATTGTGCGCGGTGATGAAGTTAAGTTCGGGAATGGAAAGGGCACATTCAGTCTACTCTCGTCGCGATGTGGGCATCGCTGGGCCTGCTCTCTGCCATGAACTCGCTCCGCTAGCATTCTAATGTAGCAAAGCGGCAGTTGCAAATATGTAGTGCTGGTTTGCAGGAAGTGGTCAGCGCTGAGCATGCACGCGCCGTCTGACGGCGGTAATGAACGCCCGCGTTTGCACAGCAACCAAGTGTCCTTCATTGAAGCATCCCATCATTGCCCCCCTCCTCCTCCTCCTCCTCCTCCTCCTCCTCCTCCTCTTCCTCCTTAGTGTGGGGCCCTTCCAAGTCTCGCTGGGCAGGCCGCCCGACTGATGTGTTGGAGGCCGCGCAGCAGCGCTTAAGCAAGTCATGGCGAGCTCGCCCTGACGAGCCCGCACTTCTGCCAGCCGAGCTGCGAGGAGGGGATGATCTTGCAGAGATCTCGGCCGACCAGCTTCGAGCAGCCAGCCAGCCGCAATTTCAGTAGCTCCACAGGCAGGGCCCGGGATGGGATCCACCCCGGGCACCTCGGCCTCCTGGAGGACGCCCACGTGGACATCGAGCGCAGGCTTCTCAGAGCCATCGAAAGAGTAGGTGCTTTTGACTACCTACCAGACCACCCCAACCCAACCCGAAGACCCGAATTTGAATCGAATTTCGGGTTGGGGGGGGGTACGGGTTCCATGTGTTTTTTGTCAGTGTTCCCCGACCCCCCCCCACTGGAAATCGAGGATAAATTTGGGCCTTCGGGTTGGGTTGGGGTGGTTTGGTGGGTGGTGAGCTTTCCCGACGCAGACCAGGGCCATCGTGACGGATCTCATCGAAAAGCCCAAGCCAGACCCAAACCCAGGTCCAAGCGACAGGCGTAGAAGGTATGACGCCAGGCTTTGGGAGAGTCTGGGGCAAGCATCGCCAACTTGAGTTTCGAGCTTGGGGGCGTGCTCACCCTCGTAGGTACCCGGCTCATCAAGCTGGCAAAGGAATTCTGGAGGTGGCTTTCGATCAAGCCACGCAAGCTGAAGGGCATTTCTTGGGCAAGACGAAAGTTTTCTCAGAAGCTGTTCTATGGGATGTATCTAGCTATTACGAGTGCGTGGATAGGAAACTCTGGACGGACAGGGCCCAGGATACCTATTTCTCGGATTCGCTGGCGGTAATCATTTGTAACCGGCACCAGGCGCCCAGGACAGTCGCCACCCTTGCTTCCACGCTTCCTGCAGGGTGCCCCGAACGAAGCATCGCTGCAGGCTGCTGGGCCGCCACGTTCCTTGTGCAGCAGTATTTTTCACCACCCATTGACATCTGGGTAGCCCAGAACCCGAGAGCGCAGCCCACGATTTTCATGCATGATTTCCTGTCGGGCAGCCACAACAGCAAGCCCAGCATATTGATAGCAGATCTAGCAAAGGCCTCAGCTAGCATGCATCAGTCGATTGCCGTCGACCTTACATGTGACATCGCCAAGCATAAGGCTGCTGTTGTGGCTTTGACGCTGATGGTCCAGGCCGATATCACGGCCAAGCTCGGCCGGTGGGCTGGCCCTAAGGCCGCCCTGAACGAGACAGCGGCCACTGATTTAGGAGTCGACTTCACTGCTGGTGCCAGAGTAAGGAGCAAGGGAAGAGCAACACTTCAGGCCTGGACTGGCAGGTTGAAGAAGCGGCTCCGCCGATTGCGTGCCTGACGCGCCGCAGGAGCAGATGCGAAGAAGATTTGGAGCACTGGTCTTCAGCAGACGGGCTACTTCGGGACGGAAATTCTCGGGCTCACCGCTCAGGAGCTCCATGATGCGCAACATCTGCTCCTGAAGGTCGCGGGGCCTATGTGTGCCACCCGCTCGCGCGCCCTGCCGCTAGCTGTGCTTGAGGACCCTACTTGGAGTACGATTGTTTCAGGGCTGCCCAAGATCCGAGAAAATCTGAGTTCAGCCTCCCCGAATTTAGACGACTGGCTTCAAATATCCTGGACAAGCCTCCCTCAAGCTGGGGTAGCATCAGAGGCCCCCCTCGGTGCAGTGTATTTACGGTTGCCAAGAGTTGGCTGGCCCTGGACCAGTCCAATGGAGTTCATGAGCAGGGAAGGCGAGGTCTACCGCTCACCACCAGCTCGCCCGCTCTCATTCGTCGGATGCTCGAGGCGTCATGGCAGGAGCAGCAGGCCGAGCACGTGGCAGTCGAGATCGGAGTGCCTGCAGTGGACATGTCTCACGCCAAAGCAGCTCTAGCAGACAAACGTCCAAGTAAGCAGGATCATAGCCTCCTCATCTCGTACCTGGCCCAGTCGATCTGGACCAAGTGTAGACTAAAGGATGGTGGATCTGACACGGGCACTAATTTTACCTGTGGGGCTCCGACAGATTACATATTCCACAGGCTCATCGATTGCCCCAAAAGTGCGGATCTTCGGGAAGAGCACCTCGCTGAAGGTGACTTGGAAGCCCTGAGGGAGCCCCAGGCCTTTGCTATGTGTGCTGGTTTTCCCGAGCCTCCGCCCTTTCAGGTCCCGAGGCCCCTCGGTCTTGGCCTAGCTGAGGCCCAGTTATGGTCCCGTGAGGGCCATTTCGCCTTCGGAGACTTTCGTCGGCGAGGTTTATGTCGACGGCAGTGTGGCCAAGGGTGGCCACCAGTGGTTTCGTGCCCCTGGCTGGGCAACTGTGGGGCCTCTGTGGGCCTGTAAGCAGCGCTCTCCCGCCCACGCCACCAGCGGCCGGCGGAGTTCTTCGCGTATCTACTTCTCAGCGAATTCAGAGAAGTAACCAAAATACAATCAGGTTTCAAAGGAGTGGTCACTTTCCACAACGCAGGCCTGCCTGCCAGTAGGACAAACATGTACGACGGGCTTGGCTCAATGGCCAGGCTCGGAGAAGGCAGTGCTGAAGAGGGGTTTGAAGTGGCTGAGGTCAAACCCCATCAAGACTTGGATGATCGGGAACGCTACCGACGAATGGCGGCGCGCTTCGGGAAACGACGCGGCCGACCGCACTGCTAGATTAGCTGCCTCGCGCCTCCCCCAGCCCTCGGTAGGAGAGAGAGACGCCCAGCAGCAGCTTGAAGAGGAGGAGGAGGAGGAGGAGGAGGAGGAGGAGGAGGAAGAGGAAGAGGACGAGGACGAGGAGGAGGAGGAGGAGGAGGAGGAGGAGGAGGAGGAGGAGGAGGAGGAGGAGGAGGAGGAGGAGGAGGAGGGAGGAGGAGGAGGAGGAGATGTTGTCTCGCTTCCTTCCTTCGGTCTGTGCCGAAGGCCCCTGCGCTGTGGCCCCTCGATCGCCCCGAGGGCTGGGGGTGTAAAGGCCTCGCGGGCCCAGTCGGGGCCACCAGCCCAGCAGCAGGTGCATAGCTCGATCGCGGCCGTGTGCCAAAACGGAGCGAACACGGAGGGGGGTCCAGCTCTGGCCCTGGAGCTGCGGCGGCCCCTCCCCCTCCCAGCCCCCTCTTGGGTGGCCCGTGCCCCGAGAAGCACAACGGCCAGCTCGCACTACTCCCACAGGCACCGACCTGCAGCTCATTCAGCGAAGATCCACCCCACAGGTCCAGCAAAGCATTCCAATACATATGCCGATCGTCTTCCAGCTCATACACAGTCAGACCAAAACCCACACACCCGTGCCCGTGTGGGGCCTGTGTGGGCGTGGCAGACATCTCGTTGGCTCTGCCGTCCTGGCCACTCGCGGCGCATGTCAGACAAGGCTAAGCTTGCCAGAGCTAAGGAGTCGTGGCCAGGGAATGCTGCTCGTCTGGCAAAGCCAGCGGTGCAGCCCAACGGTCACAAGCTTCCTTCGTTGTCGAGAGAATTGCAGACGATAATGTCACTGTTGCATGCAAGCTGTGCGGTAGTTAGGCAGAGTGTACCGCGAAGAGCCTCCAGAAGCGTTGTCTCAAGCAATTCACCCAACTTTTCAGCCGGCGCCTATGCGCGCCTCCAGGAGGGGAGACATCCCAGGGCCTCTAAAACGAACCCCATAGTCTTCCAGCCTCCGATCCCGATTGAAGAGGTAGCCGTTCAGGCCGCCCAAGCGCTCGAGTCGCCCTAAGCGAAATCGAACCCTCTCCGAAGCCGTGCGATGGTCCTTCTCCTCCTCCTCGTCCTGATCATTACCACCATCATCCTGCCACTTCTCAGGTGGAGACTGGGCGCCGCGGCTAGAGCCGGGCTCTTGCCGCCCTCATTCCCCCTTCCCCACCACTCTCCTCCACCACGGCTGTGCGATACGCGCCAGGTCTCACGAATTCGAGCTGCGAGCAGCGTTTTCTACCACTCCTCCTCCTTCTCCTCCTTCTCCTCCTTCTCGTCGACCTTCTAGCTAGACTAAGCCCTCTCACGCTTCCGCTCGGATGCTTGGGTTGCTGGCCGACCCCCAGGCCTCCATCGGTCGGAGGCGCCGAGCTCGCCGTACAGCGCCTCTGCGAACGACGTGACCACCTTCCGGTCGAAGGCGTCCTCTCGACAGGGGAGGGGCTCGGGATGCGGACTGACCTCGGCCGTCTCAACGGAGGCAAGGCCGCATGCCTGGAGGTCTCGGGGCTGCTTGGAACTGTTCGTCCCTCGCTCCTCGCCCAGCCCCTCGAGCACCTTCCCGAAGCCGGACACCTGAAGAGCGCTCGTTTCAGTGCGTTGGCGACAGCATGCAATGAGCTCCCGCAGGCCCCCGCGCGCGACAGCCGTCTTCGCCCGCGGCGGCCGCACGATGGTCCAGTCCGCCAGCCTTCAACCAATCAGCCTTCCTTGACCTCTCTTGCAATAGACCTGGCCTGGAACGAGCCAGCGCTCACCGCTCAGATGCCAGGGCAGGAGAGTCCAGAATCGAATCGATAAGTCGGATCGGCAATCGAAACGAGTCGGATCGGCGGAAATCGGTGACCAAGCCAGGAGAGGTCAAATCGGCGGAAATCCGAAGTCTACTGGGGCCTCCCCTGGGCAACCGGAATCGGCACCGGAATCCGGAGGCGCAGCGACTCGGCGCATCGAGGGATTGATCAAGTCGACTCGGAGAAAAGAGGCCCCTGCATGGGGACCGAACTCTGGGGAAACCAGGAGGCACCGATGCCGCTACCCCAGATTTCGTAATAAAGGGAGGGGGGTCTCATTTCGGGGGGGGTCTCTTCGGGGCTATCTTGGAGGGCCTGGGAGGTTCTGGAGACGATGTTTTGGAGGGTTCTCCCACGGGGGAGGTCTGAAATGGCTTGTCTTGGAGGGTCCGGACCCCCTCCCTTTTATTACGAAATCTGGAGTACCCCCCCGACCTCTCCGGGGGTGCGTTCTGAGACCATAATCTGGAAGTGCATCCAGCGGCGGCGGCGAGGGCAGACCAGGAGGCCCCCGCAGGGCAAAACGGCCGAGGGGTAATGCGGGATGACGACTCATAAAACAAAAAATGGGAGAGAACGATGAAAAACAAAGTTTGCTGCTATTGCTGCACAAGGTTCTGACTGGCGGAGAACGATGAAAAAATAGTTTTCCAGCCCGCGGCCGGTTTTTTCGAATCGTCATCCCCAGCGCCGCCGCGTGAACACGACCCCCGGTCATTTACTAATCGTCATCCTCCGTTAGCTGCAGGCATGCCTACCTCTTCCTCCTCGGACTCTCTGGCCAAACCGCGCCCAGGCCCCGCGTCGCCACACAGCGCGCGCGCCCCTGCCGGCGGAGACGGCCAGGGCAGCCCCGCGCGGCGCACGGCACCTCTGCCCCTCGACGAGCCGGGGGCCAGCGCCTGCGGCGAGAAAGCCCTGCTTGGCGGCGCGCACAAGGGGGTGGGGGGAGAGGGGAGGGCTTCTTAGAAGCAAGCTGCTTCTTAGAAGGCGCCGGCCTCACATCTATAGATCAGGCCCGCGCCTTCTAAGAAGCAGGGGTGCTTCTAAGAAACCCTCCCCCCTCCCCCCACCCCCCTCTGCGCGTGGCTGACCTGCGGGCATGTGCGGGCCAGGGCACACACCGAGGAGGCGCGGGCAAGAACATCGACATCTATGGCAAAATTGTGTCGTGACGACTCCGGCGTTGGTTCTCGACACCGCGGGGATCGTTCCACCTTGCACGATCGGCCGTTCCCGCAACGTCAGAATCGCTCCAGAGCGAACGATTCTGGGCCGACGCCAGCGTTCAGCGTTGAACGCCGGCGGCGGGGTCGCCGCCGGTCGACACGGCACGAACCAGCCGTACCCGCGGACGCACACCCTGGACCAAGGACCGAAGAATATACTTCAAGAACATTTTTTTGGGGGGGGGAGAAGGAGGGATCCGCTGCCCTCCCAGAGGGCTAATTATCTATCCGGGAGGCGCACCACAGCAAAAGCAACAGCTGCGGTGAACATCAACGCTGGGAACCGTGAAGACCATGAGGCCCTCCGCGGGCCACGCTGAAGAGCACCCGGGGAGTACCCTCCCCCAGCATGCACGAGGCTCGTTTTACAAGCACGAAGAACTCGACTGATCTCCTCCTCGAGGAGAGGAGGAGGAGGAGGAGGAGGAGGAGGAGGAGGAGGAGGAGGAGAAGTAGGAGGAGGAGGAGGAGGAGGAGGAGAAGTAGGAGGAGGAGCAGGGGGAGGAGGAGGGCGTGACTGACCTCGATCTGATACTTCGGTCTGACCGCACCCGACCCATTGCACACAGGCCGCTAGACATAGGGCCCCCTGAAAAGCAAGGAGCAAGCCTTGAAGGACCCGGCGTACCCTCGGACGCTTCGCCATTTAAAGATTCCGCCCTGACCTTGAACCCTCCACCGCTCCCTCGTGGGGCACCACTCCACTGGACCGCCTAAGGGCCCACGAGAGTGGCGACGGTTTCGCAGCTCGCAGCCCCCCAGGAACGGCAAGGTCATTCTGACCTGCATGGGAAACCACTCCGCTGGACATCCCAGGGGCCCACGAACGTGGCGACAGTTTTGCAGTTCGCAGTCACACAGGACGGCGAGGTCTCATTCTGATCTGCGTGGGGCACCGCTCCGCTGGGACTCCACGGGGCCCACGAGAGTAGCGACAGCATCGCGGCTCGCAGCCCCACTGGGACGGCCAGGTCTCATGCTGATCTGCGTGGGACACCGCTCCGCGGGAGCGCCCGAAGGTTCACGAAAACGGCGACGATCTCGCGGATCGCAGTCCCCCAAGGGATGGTGAGATAAAATTCTGATACGCATGGAACACAGCTCCGCTGGAATTCTCAGGGGCCCAGAAAAGTGGCGACCGTTTTGCAGCCCGCAGCCCCCCCCCCCCAAAGACGCCGAGATCTGATTCTGATCTGCGTGGGAAGCCACTCCGCTGGACCTCAAAGGGGTCCACGAAAGTGGCGACGGTTTCTCAGCTCGCAGCCCCTCAGGGCCGGCAAGATCTCAGTCTGATCTGCGTGGGACACCACTCCGCTGGAACTCATGGGGCCCACGAGAGTGACGAGAATTTCGCAGTTCACAGCCCATCCAGGGACGGTGAGATCTGATTCAGATCGGCATGGGGCACCACTCCGCTGCACCTCCAGTGGGGCCCACGGAAGCGTTGACAGCTCCGCAGTTCGCAGACCCCCGGGGCGGCGAGGTCTCATTCTGATCTGCGGGTTGCCGACAGTTTCGCAGTTCGCGGCCCGCCTAGGGACGGCGAGGTCTCGGCCTAATTTGCCTGAAACACCGCTGCGCTGGACCTCCCAGGGGCCAGCGAAAGTGGCGACGGCTTCTCAGTTCGCAGGCACCAAGGCAGCGCGATCAGGAGGAGGAAAAGGAGGAAGGAGGCAAGAGGGAGGAGGAGGAGGAGGAGGAGGAGGAGGAGGAGGAGGAGGAGGAGGAGGAGGAGGAGGAGGAGAGAGGAGGAGAATGAGGAAGGAGGAGGAGAGGAGGAGGAGGAGGAGGAGGAGGAGGGGGAGGAGGAGGGTGAGGAGGACGAGGAGGAGGAGGAGGAGGAGGAGGAGGAGGAGGAGGAGGAGGAGGAGGAGGAGGAGGAGAGGGAGGAGGAGGAGAAGAAGGAGGAAGGAGGAGAAGATGAGCGGTAGACGGCAGAAGGGAGGAGGCGAGAGGACACGCGCGAGCAGTGCTCCATCCAAAACGAATGCAAAACCAGAGGAGGGTTAGGAAATACGACAATGAGTCGTCGTTAATCCCACAGGTAATTGAAGAACAAAAGGAATTGAGGAACGTCGCATTTTGTCAGTCAAAGGGAAACGCCCCGTACATTTGCTCCCTTCACTGCCGGGGGGGGTGGGGGGCCCCCTCGGGGTCCCGCGGGGAGGTCCTGCCTTCAGGGTCGGCGGCACGGGCCGTACGGCCTTCGCAGTACTACGGTGATGCCATTGGACAAGGAACCCATGGATAAGGAATCCAGGGTTTGGAAGCCGTTGGAACTCCAATCGTGGATTGGCCATGGATATCACCGCCGCCCTCACCAGACGAGGAACCCTCCACGACCGCCCCGCCGCCGCCGCCCTCATCAGATGATCGCCGCCGCCCTGTGGGCACATTCCTTGACGAGCGCGCCCACCGTGTCCACCAGCGGCGGCGGTCGGAGCGGTGAGGAAGGCGACGCACGCGAGAGCTTCGGCCCCCTCTGGGGCCCGATGCCTGGCCGAGCCTGGCCTGCTCTCCCGAAGCCCGCTCCGGCACTCCAGACACCATGGGAGCAGCGGGCATCTTCGCCAGCGGGCGGCCTCTCCTTTGGACGCTCCTCCCGTGCAGCCGACTGGCGCCCCACGTCGTCGCAGCGCTCAGCGGACGGAGCGCCCAGGGTCCGGGATGCGCCGCGTCAGGCTGCGCCCAGGGGTGCAGCAGGGAGCCCAGCCCGCATCCGAAACCTTCTGCTGTGAGCCTCTGCATGCCAAGCCGGGCCAGGCCCGCGTGCGTTTTTTTTTTTCTTTCTTTTTTTGTTCCCCCCCCGCGAGCACCAAGGGGGCACTCCCGGCGCAGGCCGCACCGCACGGCCGGGCGCCTCCCACCCACGATTGTGTGAGGGTGAACCGCAGATGCGGAGGACAAAGACGAGAAGTGCACCACGGAAGAGAAGGATGGATCACGGAGGAGGCAACAGTCGCGAGGTCTCGGCACGGCTCTGACCTGGCCCAACCTGTCCTTGCACCTGGCTGGCCCCATAGCCCTGCTCCTCCCGTTCCTCCTCAGCTGCCTCCCGTCCTGCTCCATACAAGTACCTCCTCCCTGTCGCATACCGAGGCCAGTCGAAGGGCAGCCTGGGCGTTTCGCCTGCGACTTCCTTACGATGTGTGACCCTGCAAATTCAAAAGCGGAAGCAGCTTCACAGATGGAGGGCGGGTGGTTTTCAAAATGCTCTCGCCTTAGCGCCGCGCGCATTCGTTCACACAACGCAGAAGTTTCACGGATTGAGGGCGGGTCGTTCTCCAAATATGGTTCCCGCCCCAGCGCCGCTCACATTTTTTGAAGAAAATTGCAAACGTTTCACGAAGTGAGGGCGGTTCCTTTTCAAACTGTGGCCCTCGCCTTTGCGCCACGCCCATTCGTTTCAAACCCCTGCAAAGGTTTCACGGATCTCCGTGGTTACCAGACCAGGACTGGCATGTTGGAGCGAGTCTGGCTGTCAGGGCGCAACAATAACTTAGTTTGCGGCGTTGAGGTCCAAGGATTGGTATTCTGGCGCAGCTCAGGATCGTCAAGATGCAGCAATCAGGTTGATTCGTGGCGTTGGAGTCCCGAGAATGGTGTCCTGGCACGCTTCGGGATCTTCAAGCGGTTGTCTTCCAACGGGGTACTTCTCTCAGTGGAGTTGAACCCTTGTGGGGCCTGTAAAGAGGGAGCTTGGAGGGAGGATTGATTCCAATATCGTTGATGAGTCTTGGGATTGCACTTGTCCTCCCCCTCTTCCTCCTCCTCCTCCTCCTCCTCCTCCTCCTTATCCTTTCTCGTCCTCCTCCTCCTTCTCCGTTTCCCCATCCTCCTCTTGCTCCCCCCGCTCACCAGCGATCTCCATGTGATCTGGGGGCTGGAATGTTCTTCTAAAGCTGGCGGGCAAGTCGTGACGGCGACTCGGCGCCCGTTGGACGTCCTAGAGGCCTGGCTGTCACCAGGACCAGGGCCACCTCCTGAAACGTGTGGGCGTCCGGGTTAGCGTGCGGCCACGGATCGGCCGCAACATCGCTGCTCTGCTGCTGCTTCGGCTACGCGCAAGGAGTGACCCTGGGTGATGCAGACCTCTGGTGCGCGGCTTCTGGGGGGCGCGAGGGGGCCGAACCTGAGCGTGCAGGCCGCCGCTGTGCCCCGCGCTCGGCGATCGGTGGACCCCGGCGAGCCCGCACCAGAGGTCACTCTGGCAGGGGGCCACTCTTGCGCGTGGTCGCCTGCTGCCTCCCTAAGAAGCCTCCCAGGTAGGGGTCGGAGTAGCTTGGGTCGGAGGATCGCGCCGCAACGCCGATGCATCGGCGATGCATCGGCGATGCACCACTGGTGCATCGTCGTCGACGTCGGCGGTGCATCGGCGACGTCGGCGTGCAGCACATCGGGCTCCACATCGAGCCGCATCGGCAATGCATCGGCGACGCGGCGCGATCCTCCGACCCCATCTGAGAGGCCTGGACTCCCTCGCTCCACCTGCTGCCCGACCTGGGCGCGCTCCGCAGTGCGACAGCCCCGGGGCCGTGGGTGCGGCCGCCACGGAGCCACGTGGGCGAGGGGAGGGCCGCGGCCAGCCTGGATCCAGCGGGTAACCCACTGCAGCATCAGGATCAGCATGCGCGGCTTCCAGACCGGCTGGGACTTCGCCTCGGTGGCCCCTCGCTCGCCGCTCGCCCCCCCCCCTTTGAGAAAGCGGCAACCCACCCCCACCCCCAGTCCCGACCCCATCCCCGAACCCGCGATCCAGGGGGTCGGGACTGGGGTTGGGCGTGGATTGTCAGTCTAAGAATGAAGAAAACGCCCCCACGCCCAGTCCCGACCCTTGGACTCGCTGGCTCGGGGATGGGAGTCGGGACTGTAAAACAGGGCTAGGATCGGGATAAATCGCTCCAGAGCGTTCCGGAGTGCTCTCAGAGCGTTCCGGAACGCTCTGGAGCGGCCCCGGCGCCCAATACATCCTCCAAACCCGCCGATTCTCAGAGATTTCGAGTTATCCCGATCCGATTTTGTCCCGATCTTCGCGTCGTTTTAGGGTGGGGGGGGGTTCTCGCCTTCTGACTCTTGGCGCCGCACTCGGACGACCCGCGCCACGCATCCGGACTCCCGTCGCCAAGACTCAGGACCGGATCCAGACGGGATCGGAGCGTCGGGGGGGGCGGAGGAAGACCAGGAACGCAGTGAGGGGATGCGGGGAGGCAGAGGACTGGGAAATTTAGCAGGGAGGAGATAATAATAATAATCATGATAAGAAGAAGAAGAAGAATAAGAAGAAGAAGAAGAAGAATAATAATAATAAGAAGTATATAAGCTTCATAGGTGCATTGGAGTGAAAAGGCAGTGGTAAATTTCCAAGCACCTGTGTGCGTCGGAACTGAACTGACGACGGCTGTTGCCACCTGGGGGGAGGTCATGGAGCGAGGCACGCGGGTCGTGCCCTGGACAAGCGAGGGTGAGCACGGCCCCACCTTCGGCCCAACAACCAGTACGGATGTCCAATGGAGGGGGTGGCGCGGCGAGGGGCCGGTCGGGCTCATCTTCGAGATGTCAACCCGATGTCGCCCCAGTCTGGTGCACGCCCCACGCTGGCCTCCTCCCTGCCAGAGTCCGAGGCAGGAAGAAGACCAAGGGACGCCGTGCGGGAGAAGGAAGGCGAGGATGGGAGGGAGGGCGCGAGGAAGGGACGGGAGACAGGGAGGGACGGGAGGCTGCCGCGATCCGGGGGCAACAACGCCCCACCGCCGTGGCTCGCTGGGGGCCCCAGCCTCCTTCTTGGCGAGGCGGAAGAGGAAGCCGTGCAGGTCCGCCCGGCTCCCCGCCCCTTCCTGCCTGGCGGTGGCCCTCCCCGCGGCAGCCACGAGCTCCAGGCACGACCACTGGAGTGGCCGGTGCTCCGCTGCCTGGGGCGCGGCCACGCTGAACACGAACTGGAGGATGGCCTTCGGCGGGCGAAGGCTCAGTGGGCCCTGGAAACGACAGGGCCGTTTTTATTACCGGTTCCGTTTTGCCGTTTCTTTGGCCAGTGCCGACGCCGTTTTTTTACAGATTCCGTCGCCGTTCTTTTACGGGTTCCCGCTCCGGCTCCAATCCTGGAGCCGTTCTTGTTGCCGTTTCCGGTCGCCGTTTTCTTGCCGCTTCCATTCTCGAGGGGCACGTTTCGGAAACGGTGAAGAAACGGCCCTGCCACTTCCGGGGCCCACTGAGGGCGAAGGCTGCCCCTCCCCCCTTGGCGCGGGCGAGAAGTGCCCTGACAGGAGAGCAGCGCGGGCATGAGAGGGCGAGGAGAGCTCGAGTCGTCGAGGGTCTGACGACCCTCCTCCTCCTCCCCTTCCCCCTCCTGCGCCTCCTGCTCCTCCTACTCCTCATCGTCGTCCTCCTCCTACTCCCCGCTCGGGGCGTGCGCCTCGACAGGAAAGACGAGCGGCAAACGCTGGCGGCACTCGGCCTCTCGGGGGGGCCTCGCCCGGCCCAGCCGGACCGTCGCCGAGCAGCTCGGGGTGAGGAAGGGAACCGGCGCCCTGCGGGGATCGCCGCGGGGGTCGCTGAGTGGATGAGGGGATTGTGAGCAGCCGCCGAGGTGGTCATACGGTAACTGGAAGCAATTACTGAACACTCCCCCTCCCCCCAAACTCAATGTTGGCACGCGCGGGGGAGACTGCGGTCGAAGTGCACATCATCAGACCCACCGCCAACTTCGAACATTGGGGGAGGGGGAGGCGTTGACGGATGAATGTGGCATAAGTGTTCGCTCATTTGTTCCGAGGCCTGTATCTGGCCTCACCTGGCTTGCAAGTGGGTTGCAGATGCCCTGAGTGGTTTCACGGGCGAGATAACTCCGCTCAGCGTGAGGAGCCCACTTGGCCCGGACAACCGCTCTCAGCCCCTTGGGGGATGTGCAACCCACTCATATAAGCTAGGCCGGGCCAGCTATAACCACCATGGCAGCCGCTCCGAACCCTCCTGCCCCCTCAGCCACCCCCCCGCGGTCAGCCCATTGGGGAAGCAATCGGGGCGTCCGGGAACGCCGCCTTGAACACATCCCGGCCAGATGCGGGCGGCCTCGAGGCAGGGCGCCGCTCGCCAACCCCCTGGCGCTCGGAGGGAGGTCTGCGACTCTCCGCGCAGGCTGTCTCGAGGCCGCCGTCCAAGAGGCGACTGCAGCGCAGCACGCTCCTTCGATTCCGCCGTCGGGGGGGCCATATCCTGAGGTTAGGCGGCCCCCGGAAGCTAATCCCTCAGAGCTCACCATGGGGCGTACAGGGCTCCAAGCCGCCATGCGATAGGACATAGCCTCAGGCACTTTCAGGTAGCACCTGAAAAGGTTGGGTAAGAATGCGGGCCCTGAAAAGGTGCTGATCTTGACGCCCCTCGGAATGCCTGATTGTTGGCGGTGCTATCTGTGAAGCGCCCCCCCATAGCTCCCAAAAGACAGCGCAGACGGTCGCACGCTGGCTGTCGTCGGAGAGAGAGAGAGAGAGAGAGAGAACACAAAGAGAGTGAGAGAGAGAGGAGAGGGATATAGAGAAAGAGAGAGAGAGAGAGTTCTTAGCCGCGTAGCGCACGGTGGGGCGCCACGCTTCAGCAGAGCAAACTCAAAACTTAGGACTCAAGTTTCAGCTTAGGTGTTCCGCTCTTTCGCTGCTATAGCGCGTGGTTGGGGAGGCTCAGGAAGAGAGAGGCACCAACGCCAGCGACTACGACACACAAATAATGTGCTGCGCATTGCAGCTTGTTGTTGCATTGCAGAAGGTGTTGTATTGCATGTTTTAAGGGCTGTGGTGGCGCTGCTGTTGCTTGATCTTGAAATATGCGTGCGGACCCAGCGTGGTTTGGGGATGCTCTGGAGAGGTTGAAGCGCACACGCTGGCGACTACGACGGCACAAAAGCAGTGTCTTTTGTATTGCAGTTTTTGTTGCGTGGCAGTTGTTGTTGAACTGCAGCTTTTTGTTGCGCTGTAGTGGAGATTCTGGCGCTTCAACTCGAAGTCCGCGTGCGAGCCCAGCGTGGTTTGGCGGAGTGCAGGAGGGGTTGATGCGCACACGCTGGCGACTACGACCACAGTCAGGAGAGGTTGACGCGCACACGCCGGCGACTACGACGACACAAAAAAAACTGTCTTTTGCTTTGCAGTTTGTGTTGGCGCTGTAATGGCGCTGCTGGAGCTTCAGCTTGAATTCCGCGTGCGAGCCCAGAGTGGTTTGGGGAGGTTCAGGAGGGGTTCAAGCGCACACGCCGGCGACTACGATCACACAAAAGCAGTTTGTTTTGCATTGCATGTTTTGCGCAGTAGTGAGTGGCGCTGCTGGAGGTTGCTGGCACTGGCCCTGGCTCCGCCAAGAGATGTATGCGCTCGCAAGAGCAAGCCCCGCCCGCGGGGTAGCGGGTCTAGCCGGGCTCGCGTTGCTCTGATGATAGTCTGTTTGGCTTGTCCAACAACAAAACGTTCAGTCCCGCTGGAAGGGACAACGATACGTGAGTGCCCGCTAGACTCTCAGACCGCAGAAGATGGGGTAATCCGCCGACCCCTTGTAGGTCTCTAGGCGTGTGAGATAGTTCCCCCCCCTCTAGTCCCCCCCTGGGACCCCCAAACCGGCGATTTGACCCCCCCCTGATGGCCCCCCCCCCCGGCCCGGCACGAGCGACTCACGGAGCTTTTTCGGGCCCAAGAGGGCCCCAAGACGGGCCCAGAAGGCCCCAAGTGGCCTCCAAGACGGGCCACGAGGTCCCCGAGACGCCAATTGGGCGCTCGAAAACGCCCAAGATGGCCTCAAGTCGGGCCCCGAGGCCTCCAAGACGGCCCCAGAGGTCCCACATAAGCCTCCCAAGATGGCCCCGAAATGCTAAAACTGGTGATTTTCCATTATGTTTTACGGTATTTGTTGCCTTTTCGCCGTTTCGGCTTCCCGACGCTCCAACACGGCCCCCGAGGCCCTGAATACCGCCCCGAAACGGTTCAAGAGGCCCCCAAGATGGCCCCAAGACGGCCCTAGAGGCGCCGAAAACGCCCCAAGAGGGCCCCAAGACGGGCCCAAGAGGGGGCCAAGAGGGGGGAAAAAAATCTCAATTCGAGGCTTCGGCCCCCAGGCGCCCCCAGGAAACCCCAAGAGGTCCCCCAAGAGGCACCCAAGAAGCCCCCAAGAGGCCCCAAGCAGGCCCCAAGAGGCCCAAAAGAGGCACCCAAGAGGCCCAAAATAGCTCCCAAAGGGCCTCCAAAGCATGGGCGGTACCATTTGAGACACACGGACGACGTACCTCGCGCGGTACTTGGTCGGTACCATTTGAGGTATCCGACAGGCCGACCACGAGATCCGAAATAATATTCCACTGGCCTCAGACTCACAGCCCCGGCACGGCAGCGGGATTCGCGGGACGCGCCTCGGGCCATTCGGGAAATATCCCTCTCAGAATCCACGACAAGATCCTCACTTGTCCTCGTCCCCCTCTTCCTCCTACCCCTTCTTTTCCTCCTCCTCCTCCTCCTCCTTCCCCTCCCCTGTCGTCTCCGTCTCCTGCTTTGTTCCTCCCCACTGTCCACAGCATTCGCGCGCTGCCCGACGCGCTGCAGCGCCTTCGTGGAAGTCCCCCAGAGGCCCCGAAACGGCCCCCCAGTGGCTTCAAAACTGCACTCCTCGAGCCCCCGAGAGGCGTGCCGCGAGATCCCTATACACATACTTGAAGCCTCTAACTCATAACCCATGACCCAGCACCTTGTCTCCGTGTCCCCCTCCTCCTCCTCCCTTGCCTCCTCCTTCCCCATACACATACCACAAGCCTCTACCCCACATCCCATAACCCAGAGCCTGATCTCAGTGCCCCCCCCCCTCCTCTTCCTCCTCCGCCATCTCCTCGTCGTCCCCCTCCTCCTCTTCCTGCCCCGGTTCACCTCATCCTCTTCGATGCTTCTCCCCCCCATTCTCCGCCTCACCCCCCATCCTTCTTTCCCCGTCCTCCTTTTTCTCCCCAGCACGCGCGCCCGATTGGGCATCATGTGCATGTCTTGCACTTCAGAGTGCCCTTCTTTGCGTCGCGCGGGACATTGTGCGGGTCGGGGAACGCCGACTTCGGTAGTCTCCTCTTGCATGCGCCGGTGCACTGATACCCTTGGTAACTGCGCGCGTTGAACCCGAGTTCCTCGCAGCCTCTGCACACCACTTTGGTTCCTTTCGCCTTTCTATGATGTTCCACTTGCGTCGGCTTCAAGTGTCTCGTGTCTGAGAACGCTCCTCCGCACGACGCGCGCGTCAGTACCTTCGCGTCCGCCTCGGCTTTCCGTTTGCGATTCGCTGCCTCCGCATTCCCCCGTCGTACCTTTTTCTCTCGTTCTTCCGCGCATTTCCGACAGAGTCTTCCGCCCGCAGCATTGTGCTTCTTCTGAGCTTCGGACATCCCCGCCCCCTCTTGGAACTCCGACAGGCAGTCGCCGTTGGAACACCGCAATGTGACCACGCGTTTTTCATTATTCGACGCAAGCGTCGCCCTCTGACGTTCTCCCGCACATTTCCGACACAACCTCTGGCCCGCTGCATTCTGCTTCTTCTGAGATTCCGACATCTCGCCTTGTCGTCATACAGCGACAGGCACTTATCGTTCGAACACCGCACTGTTCCAACACTCTCGTTCCACATCGCGCTGCCAGTGCGCGAGTTCTGTTTCGCCTTGACATCCCTGCACTTTGCGCAGCACATTGTCCGAATCCTTTTCGTCTCCCCGTTTTCGAGCGCCGCGTCCGCGTTCCGACCGCTACCTTGCCGTGCCGCGTCGTCACCCTCTGCTCTCATTGCCCACCCTCTGCACGTTGTGCACCATTTTGCACCTGCGTTTTTCATCTCCTCCGCGCATTCTTTGCAGAGCGCCGGTCTGTCCTTCCTCTGGAACTCGTACTTCGTGAACGCCTCTACCAACAAACTCCGCCAGCAGCGCTCGCACTGGTCTCGTGGC